TCATGGACAACCGGATCGCAGAGGACATTAAACAATGTCAAGTCCTTGATAGTAGCATCTTTCCTCATACGAGGAAGCTTGAAATCGTTTTTACCCAATGCATCTAGTGCCGATTCCATTACCTTTTGCAAAGTAATGAAGGTTTTCGACAATGTGTCCAGAGGAAGCTCATCAAATGAACTTTGTACTGCGCTAATAAGTTCCTCGATGGTTCGAGTACATTTTTGGCTTTGCAGACTTTGTATCGAGTTAAAGTACCCCAAATCCAAGACGTTTAGGTCGGGACTATTCGGGGGATGATTTGCAGCCTCAATACCGCAAACACCAGAGTTAAGCAGCAATTGCGTTGTCACACCATTATGTGGACTCGCATTATCTTGCTGCAAATATATTACTTTACTCTGGTCATGCTTTGGCATCTTTAACTTGATAGCTCGAACGACATTCTCAAGAATCATCTTGCGGTAGACATACGCAGTTACCGTTTGGGACACGATAACTGGCGTACCCTTTAGCCGGTTCCGGCTATTCAGTTTCGCCAGGGCAGTCTCCATGAAGGTCCACACGCCAAGCTTCCCGTCAAAGACGCATTTCTTGTTGTGGTCATTTCTTGGTCGCGCCACCGCCGCGAGGAAAATCACTTTCGTGATGAAAAGCTTGGATTTCAACTGGCGCTTGGGTAACTCTTCGTCATCGTAGGAGTAGTACCACCTTTTGACCGTCGTCAAAAGAACCATCATGCACTTGAGAGTGCATGTTGTCAAAAAGGGTCCCATTTGGCGACGGCCTGAGGAACGATGCGGCATGACGCATCCGTTGCACGGTGTTCGCGTCTGTCAGGTATGGCTTCGAGTGGCTCGTCTTGCTCTTCAACGTCTTGGCGCGTTGCATGTGACGGAAAATTGTCGTCTTCGGGATGCCTGATTGAGCCGCCAACGTACGCATGGTTTGACGTGCGTGCATCGGGACCGCCTTGAAGGCTCGCTCGATCTCGTCGTCAGTACGAAGCATTTTGCGATTTATATTTCCTAATTTCAAACACCTCTTAAATTAACACCCGTAGGAAATGATTGTTGTATGTCCAATTATTATATTTGAGAGGTTTTACCGCTGTATTTTGTCGTGACATCGGCCTTGAGACTGCCATCGCGGAGAGAGAGGCGAACTCGGGTCCAGACACTCGATATCGTTTTCCACGTGCAGTCAAACGTTTGAGCTGTTCGTGTGATGCATCCATGTGGGAGGGTCCCGTCTACGCTGTGAGCTAGGAGCGTTTCGTAGATGGTACCGCGCTCGGCGTTGGTGAGCTTCCGGTGGCCACGTTGGGGAACACTGGCACGCGCAGAGGTAGGTGATGGCATGGTTGGTTGGGTAACAGCGTTTAGAAAACGAAGTGTACTGAGCACGAGGGATAAAAATTGATTTTGAAACCTCACCGGGTCATTATATTTGCTGAGCAAGGAGGCAACATTTTCGTTCCGCCATAACTCGTGAGGAAATGGTCTTTGTTTGCTCTTATTACGTCCAATCAAAGCAGAGATCTCGCGCTTTCTGGTGAGCCAATTAGATTGATTGAAGGTGACGAATTAGAAAAATTCCGCCAATGAAAAGAAAAGTCGATACATTTGTTCGGACCAGAGTAGTAATCAAGTAGTTTCCAATTTGGAAACTACTTGATTATTGTGCTTTCGAGTGAAATTTCGTGTTGTGGCGTGGTTTCTCGTTGGAATTTAAATCGATTTGATTGGCTACCTCAGATGAGCTCAAAATTGTTAGCCAATCAAAACCTTCTCAATGAAATTCAACCAATCAGATCGATTGTGGATTGGTTTGGTCGGCGCGATTCGATTGTACCCCCTCCCCAAATTTGTATCAAATCGACAATAATTGAGTTTGGATTATCATTATATACAGTACAGTAGTATTAATAGTACTAATAATACTAGTAGTACTACCGGTAGTATATGTTAATTAGCTGTAAGTGAAGTATAGGTATATGTACTACAGTAGTAGCACATCACGTAGTACAGTACTAGTATATGTTCAGTAGATTACATACATTAATCAAGTGTATGTATATACGTGGGGCAGAGGTACAGTAGTACTTCTGTCTAATAGCATTTTCCATTCGAGTTTACGAATTGACGACGCCAAAGGATATCTATCTCTAAGAGTACTACGTCCAATCGCTTGTTCGTTGGTGGTTCGTTACCATCAAAATCCTTGTTTTGAAGTGCTTCTTCTGCCCTGTCTGTAGTGATGGCCTGATGAAAGTCGACGGTTAATACATTACCGTGTAATGCGCTTTACAGTAAACTATGTATCCCACTACGTACTCCAAGGAGGTTGATTCGCTTGATTTGCATCAAAAGTGAAATGCCAGTTACAGTCGGACTACGTCGTCGTGGGCTTGCCACGCTGCAGCACGGCGCGCCCAAGTTCCCCTACAAACGGGTTTGTGCCTTGGGCCGACGCCACCCTAATAAAAAATATATATTAAAAATATAAAAATATGTAATACTGTACCCATGTTGCAGTTTGCGGATGCCGTTGAGCACTTCGCGGGTCTTGGAGATGTATACACGGTCCAGATTCGATCGGATGTCGATCTCCATGTCCTCCACCAAGCGCCCAATGTTGCTCAAGTGGGCACTCTGCGACTCAAACTTCATCGTGCGCTCCGTCTAGGTGTGTCAATATACCATGATCACATTAAAAAGACGTTTTAAATATAAATATATTGAATTCTATTGGGACTACTTAGTCCAATCTTAATATACAATGTACATTGTTGACCCACATTTCGAAAGCGAACAACAGGTTGCATCATCATGGCGGAATATCATGTTATATATATATATATATTTATTTATAAGTCATATAGTATGATATATATATTTTTGAAAATACTCGCAGAAAATTAGAGTATATACCTGCCGCGTGAGATTCGCATCCAAGTTCAAATGGCCAAGTTCTTGACGATGACTGACGTTCATGGCCAAGAGCACCGTCGACGTCAGCGTGTACACGGCCTCCTTGTCGTTTTTCTCATGCACTTCGACCACGTGGATCGAGTTCCAACCACCTTCCTCCACGAATCTACATAAGATATGGATGGATCATTGGATATATGTACATGGATGAATGGTTTGACGAGTATTACCGTTGGTGGTGGACGTCCTTCTTGATGAGGATGCACGCAGCAAAGCCTGGCTCGAGGTCCCACATGTACACAGACGACACCCCTCCTGCTCTTCCACTTTAGCCGTCAAAGGAAGACATCGTTCAGATACGTACCTTGGTAGTACATGTCGCGGTACACGTCAAACAGTTCGTTGGCTTGGATCTCCAATAGCCGCAAGTTGTCCGACGGGACAAACCCTTCCCCATCTTCGATGGGCGGGTAGTACGCATTCGTCCACGGTGACCTACATCGTCGTGAGGATACGGCATGAATCGACAGAGGGATGTTCACACCGATGCGAGTCGCCGTCGCGGTTGTAGTCGCAGAGCAAGAAAGGCCGTCCTGCCGTCGGGTCCACCGCTTGTCCCAAGGGTTGGTCCACGCGCTGGTACAGCTCATCTTCAAGGTCCGGTTGTAATTGACAGATACCCGCCAGGTCATTCGCCACGTTTCCTGGCGGCATGCGCCGAAGGACGTTCAGGCTCAACGTCATGAGATCGTCGCTCATACTTGCAGCAATCTTTCTTTGCGGTCAAAATGTGCAATGCGGAGTTCCGGATAAAAGACAACCGTCCGGATAATAACATGCTGCATTTTCATTTATTCTTTCATAGTAAATGAAAGAATGCGATGAACAGATGATTGGGTGCTTTCGACATAAATAAAACTATTATTAGCCAGTAATATTGCGCTATGTGAGGAATTAACGGCCAATCAAATCCAAGTACAACGGGACCATTTATCAGCTGATGCATTTCTACGTACGTCGACAACGATCATCATGATGCATCGCTTTCGTTCCGCGGGCGTGAAGGCCAAGGCGGTGATGCCGTGGACAGGTATGGTGGCACTCGGCTGTGCAACCACCGCCACTGCGGCGTACTCGACGCCAGCACTCGCGAAGGCCGCGCCACCTTTGACTCCCATAGACCGCTCGACCCCGGAGGTGACGTTGTACCAGTACGAGCCGTGCCCGTACTGCTGCAAGACCAAGGCGGTGCTGGACTTTCTCAAGGTCCCGTACAACGTCGTGGAGGTGAACCCAGTGACGAAGAAGGAGCTCAAGGCCATCACGGACTACAATAAAGTGCCCGTGGCTGTTGTGGACGGACAAGTACGTGGCACTCGTCTCCTCGCTTGTCCTCATCCTCGTCACACCATTCCTATCAAGGTCCCATGCAACATGATCATAGGTGGTGCCCAACTCGTCCGACATCATTTCTCGGTTGCAATCGACGTCCACGTTCGACCCCGTGACCAAGGACTGGAATGAATGGATCGACATGAAGCTGGTACGTGTGTTTATCTGAAGTTGCTGTACAACTTGCTCTCGAATAGTCTCTAAGTACACCCATGTACGTACGTGCGTAGGTGGTGCTCATGCCGCCCAACATCTACCGCACCGTGCCGGAAGCCCTCCAGGCATTCCAATACTGCCTCACAGAGGGCAATTTCACCGCGTGGGAGCGCCGCGTGAGTTTATACACGGGCGCCGCCGCCATGTACGTGATTTCTAAGCGCCTCAAGAAGAAGTACGGGTTCGACGATGAACGTCTGGCGTTGTACGAAGTCACCAACGGCTGGGTACATTACATTATGTATTTATATATATGGATGGGTCGGAGTGAGTATACATACAGCATAGACATGTGTATTTTGTATGCATGGCTCGAATTACAGTATATATATAGTATACATTTATATACAGGAATGGATATGCCTAATTTATACATATATATATGATCGTATCTATGTACAGTACATCTAACTAGTACGAATGGATCTCATGTATGTATGGCTGGGATTGCATATATATTATATAAAGGAATACGGGTATGCGCATTACTAATAGTATATAAATATATATGTATGTGCATCGAACTCGTGCGTATGGCCCATACCCATATATATAAGATATATATATATATGGTACAATTGATATTGTGAGTAGGTGGCAGCAATGGACGGCAAACCGTTTTTAGGCGGCGACCATCCAAACTTAACGGATGTATCTGTATTTGGAGTGTTTCGGTCGATCGAGGGGTTGGACACGTTCCAAGATGTGATGGCTAACACCCAGCTGGAGCCGTGGTTTAATCGGATGGCCAACCTCGTGGGCGCTTCGTCCCGCGTCGAGACTCCCAAAGTTACAGCGTAGAAGTCCTAGCTTCAATAGACAAGTACTAGACGACGAAAAGCTGGCGACGTTACAGTATGTAGTTGTTAAAAGAGTAGTAACGACTGGTACTCGACTTGACGGCTTCGTTCACTCGAGGAGAGAATCGTCTGGACGCAAAGCATCCATGACATGATGACATGCGAAAGAGAGAGAGATATGCGCGACATTCGTACTTGTCGGCAAGGAGAAACCCATATCTGTCGATGGAAGAGACGGGGTATGCAACCGCCCGAGGCGATGTTACGATGGGCGGGGGAGGTAGGTTGTTCGTCGTGGTATCCACAGACCTTGGTACTCCTGACCTGAACGACAACATCATGAGCATATGCTGCATGTTGCCATGAGCAATCATCTTACATCGTGGCTGTTCCGTCCACACGAAGAACGAATAGAGGTTGGTTCATACTGAATTCAATCGAATTCGCACTTGGACATCATGGCAAGACATGGACGAGGCTGTCATGCGTTTCATCTACATAAAGGGTGAACTACTCCTACTATACAGTGTTTGTATTGGTGGTGGTGGAATTGCAAGTTCTGGAACGACTTTGCCCATGAATGTATCTACTAGTAGTACTATTAAGAGTTACGTAGTAAGAGTAGTAGTAGTAGGAGGAGGAGGAGGAGGGGCTATTAGTAGGACTCGCTGTGAACCCTCGCTTGTCGTTACGGGAGTACATGTTGCTGCGGGTGTGGCCACATCACTTGACTTTGGCGTGTGAAGGTTACAATAATATTTGATGAGACCGTGAGATTGGGGATAAATATGTCATACTACGACATGTGTTCATGGTAAGTAACGTTAGTTCGATTTGGACGACTCGAGAAGAATGTACTACTTTCGAGTACGTGCATAGAGGATACACTCTCGCTCACGCGATGGCTTTGCACGGGTGGTTCAATGCAGTGTAGATTCCACATGCACAACAGACTGCTTGAATCAAGTCGCCTCGGTGCAGTTCCAAGTACGCAACCACATGGTTGTGTCCATGGGCAATCGCTCCGTGCAGAGCGTTGATCGAACATCCATGGGTCGGCCGCTGACTGTGAATGAACTGCACGACATGAAGGTGTCCATTGGAGGCGGCCGCGTCGATGGCGAGAGATGTCGACCCGCACCGGGGCTTGGCGTGATGCATATACGCCACGACATCGACATGCCCCCCGCCCGCTGCGCCAACGAATCCGTCCGATGTCCACGATTGGGCTCCATATTCGTGGCACCACTGCACGATGGGCAAGTGCCCCATGCGCGCACTAGCATTCACCACGGCCTTCGTGCACGGCAGCTTTCGATGGACGCACAGGTACACGACAATGTCCAGATGGCCGCTGGTTGCCGCAGACATGAGCGCGCGATTCGTCCCGGCGTAGTAGCCCATTTTAAACAACGCAACGATACCAGGGAGGTTGCCCGTGATAGCGGCTACGTCCACGAGATTGTCGTCGTCGTCGATGTCCAAGTTGAGCGTGTCGAGTAAGGTCAAATTTGTCGCGGCGACTGCGAACAGCACAACCACAGGACGCAAGTGGGGGATGCAAGAAAGCAACCGCGCCAGGCGTACTTCCCCGTGCATCGCAATCCAGCCAAGGAAGGTGGCGGTGGTGCTGCTGGTGATGATGGCTAGCGGCACAACATCTTGAGGGATGCCATGCTGAAACTGCACAATGTGCCCAAACATGTCCCGAGAACTGAGCACTACGACGGAAGGCGCATGGAACGACGGGGGGGTCACCATGATATGCCCACCGTGCCACTTGAATTGTGTGGAGCTAACTAGCTGCCTGTAAACATGCAGAACGTGAACCGTTCGGATAACGTGTACTTGTAGTACGACAGCAACAACGTCACACAGAATCGAATATTTCGCAAGGGCGCAATGCACAAAAGTCCCGTCTGTACACACCTTTGGTGGTGCAAGTTGTTCGTGCCAAGTCCAATCAATGCGCACTTCGGAAGTAGCCACCCCCACCACAATCACCCGACAGTAATCTCGAAAGTACACAAACATACGATTACTACATATTATGCTGAGCAATGAAGTTGTGCGAATATCAATCAACAATGCCCCAATTCCCGCAGGTTTTAATCGCTTCGACGGCACTGTATATGGTGCGACTTGTATCCAAAATTGCAGTGAGAAATGTCAGGTTGAAATGGTACTTTACTGCACGAGGTAGGTACTATATAGTAGAGTATTCCCCTGTTAGCAACAGCTCCAAAAGTTGTCCATGGTAGTACGGCTCCGTTCGACTGGAATCCCCAGTGGGGAAATGCACCTGCTGTTCCCGGGGCCAAGTTGAATTGCAAGTGGCAAACCACTTTCTCCCGGGGGGTGGGGTTCCTTCGAGTATGTCACAACTTCGACCCTTCAGAATACCAGTCTGTGAAGATTTACGCTCCAACTGTTGCCCGTTTGGGAGGGGAATTGCACTGCCTAAAATTCCGAAATTCGGAATATACGTGTCCATTCGTGGCTTCCCAACCAAATTTAATGAACAGTGTGGTCAAAATTGTCCATTAGGACTACAGTACTACACTGTACTACTATATTACTCACGCCAGTTCTGCATTGACGTGCGGTACAAGGTAGTACTTGTAGCCTTCGTATTTCTGTACCGGTATAATTTGTGGATCGCAGTTATTACAAGAAAAGAGCCCCCTCTTGACACCAACCTTCGAACCAGCTACAGTACGCGTGCTCGTTACGGAGTACTTTGCAGTAGTTTGTGCATTGACGGTGCTCTTCCTACTGTCCTCAAGGTCTCATGGGGTCAGTCGAACGCCCCCCCCCACGAGTCTTCCATTGGCCACACCCATAACAGTCATATCGATGCCATATGGTTCGACAAGTCAACTGGACCAGTGTCACTGACGCACAGACCCAACCCCCTTTCCTTATCATATGCTCTGAGAACAATCATAGTACATTCTACGGAATTCGAAGGCCATAACTTGACTTTTGTATGCAATCGTTGGCGCACATCCCTACGATTTCGCCATTTTGAAATCCTGCACCTCAATTTTTTTCCAAGTTATATACGAATTTGTAGCAAACATAAAATTTCACAACCCATCTGTGATTTGACGAAATCGTCGGGAGCTGGTCCTACGATTTTCATATCCAATGAGATCTCAGGAAAATCACAAATTGCCCGACTCCAATTGACCAATCCTCCTCTAATCGTACAGTACAGGTCACATACCAAAGGTGAATGTGAGGCGTCCTACAGTAGTGGCAATGCCTTTGATAGTACTTCGATAGTATTATGTATGCAGCAGTACGCAAGTCGTGCTGCGTTGAACTAGTACGTACGCAGTAGGAAGGAGCGATCGTAATGGAAGAGTTAACGTGATCTGTTGACAGTCGAGCTGGGCGCGATTGGGCGCGATTGCGAATCAAGACTTCTGGTGTGGGCCATATAAGCACACAAGATACCTTTCTCCAAGTCAAGTGCACGCAATTGCATAAATTCGACTTTAGGAGTAACGTTATCGTTAATATCACGTGGTTGGATGTTTACCTTTGAGGGCCTTGACGTATGTACTATTAGTATTACTAGCATGGCGTTGGATTACTCCATGCAGAGGCACGTTGGAGTAGTAACATTGATGTCGAAAGTACTACCGTAGTACATGACTAACGTGATGGTACTATTAATAGTAGGTATTCCATCGTCGAATAATTGTATCATGCAGCCTGTTTTGCCAAGGACTATCGTCAATAACTTACGAACTGCACACTCGAAATCTTATGTTGTTCGAACTACTTCGAAGTATTAGATTTGAATTGTGCTGGGACCAAGTGTATAGTAGTTCTAGTATGTCGTAGAAGGTGACGAAATCATCAATCGTGTATTATTGATTGTTTGTGCTTATTTGTCTGGAAAGGCGTGGCCGTGGTAGGCCATGCCCATGCCGGAAATGTTATCGCCCAACCCGCACGTATGGTCTGGTTTCTTGCATGCCAACATGGGCACCACATAACATTGAAAGTCCCCTAATCACAATATATATTAAAAGTCCCCTAATCACTATATATATATATATATATATATATATATATTAATCACAACGACACAAAATTGTATGATCCCCACACTTCAATCAGATGCATTTAAGGATTTATTCCACCAAACAACTAGAACACTAGTCACACTATATAGTGCGCTCCCAGCGGTCAAAATTACGATACGACCAACGCACAGTACTGCTGATACTACTACTACGCAGTACCCAAACCAATACTTTATCCTGAAAATAAGACAAAGCAAGCATAATATTATCCCGTCATCGAAGATTTTACGATGCCAATTAAATATATTATTTCAGCATCGTACCTTCCGTCCACGTGGCAGTGGGAGAGCGCGGATCAATGTCCCACGTAATACCGGACGCCGTCAGGGGCGTCGACCGTGGGAGCAAAATCTACACAAGTCCAAAAGTATATATTTTATATATATATTATAATAATACACGATGCTACAGTTTTCAATGCAAGCTGCTCCCATCCAAAACTAACTATAAACATAACAACAATAAAAAAAAATTCAAATACATGAAACACAACCATTTAAATCTGATATCATTCAAGAAGAGAGGCACATATTGTCGATTTGATATACAAATTTGGGGAGGGGGTGCAATCGAATCGCGCCGACCAAACCGATCCACAATCGATCTGATTGGTTGAATTGTATTGAGAAGGTTTTGATTGGCTAATAATTTTGAGCTCATCTGAAGTAGCCAATCAAATCGATTTAAATTCCAACGAGAAACCATGAAATGTCACTCGAAAGCACAATATTTGCAATCTTGAATGTCCACGAGTGCTTCTTCGTACCTCGACCAAGGACGGGACGATGGAGATGTCGGCGCCTTTTACCCCGCGGGAACGATCGCCACAGGCCAATTTGGAGCTGATGAGCGCCGCCTGCATGAGCGCCGTCATGGGGTTCTCCCACCCGCTGCCGCGCTTCTGGCACAAAATGTGAAACTGCAACGTGTGGAAATGGAGCCGCGTGAGGCCATGCAACGGCGCGGCCGCCGCCGGGTCTGCCTGGTGGATGGACGCGGCTTGGGCGGCGTAGGCGATGACGTCAGCCAACTGGGAGGTCACCGTCGCCACACTCGGTCGAGACGACGTTGTCACGAGCTCTTCGCCTACATATATATATATCGTAGTGTGTTGGTTCTACACTGGACAGCGAGCGACACGGAGAACGAATCGACTACAACCAAATAACAGTACAGAAGAATCGGCAGAAGAATGAAGCCAATCAGATAGGAGGAATTCATGATTAGTGTATGACTTTAATTAATGTGAGTAGCATCAATCCACAGGACAATTCTCGACATACAAAATTTAGGATAAAGAATCGATCGATAGAGTTGGCAAAGAATCCGCACACAAGTTCAATTGTTGGGGAGCAGATAATCGAAAAATGATCAATCAAAACCCAAAACACCATTCAAGTGGAGAATCAACCATCTGCACCCATCGAATTAGTATGTGACTTGAATTAGTGTGTGACTTGAATTAGTGTGAAGGAGTCACCACTGGGGACGATTACGCAAACATTGTAGCCATGCCACAGAGGATGACGATGTGGTTGTACTTTATTTATACATGCATGATCTCATGGACGCTAACTATAGACAGATTATATCCATATTTTGATAGGAAATAATATTATTTTTGGGATAGATTACATCTATTTTATTGATTGGAAGGCGTACCTGTCATGAGAAAGTGGTGCAAAATCGCAAGCTCTTGTTCGTTGAATCCAATTGAATGCACATGAGGCAGCACCAACTTGACCGTGTCGTCAAACAATGTGAAATCTACATGAAATATCTTGTTACAATGGAATCCTTTGGCATAATATATATATATATAGTTAAAAATATACCTGAAGCCGCCGCGAATTCATAATGCGTGAGCGTTGACTTGGTGGCTGTGATGCGCTGGAGCATCGCCGACAAATCTTTCAAGCGGCTGTATCGGCGGTCTTCGTCGGTGTCAACTTCCATCAATTGCAGCCCTCCAATCACCACCTGATGACAAAAATAGATTTTTAAAAAAATTAAAAAATAATTTAAAAAGTTTTTCATCGATGCACACCAGATTTACACTCACGCAATACTGGTACGCCCATAACATGTCGACGTGCATGGAACACTCAAATTGAATGTATCATACATATACACCAACTATTCTGTACATTTTATTCGTACTTGAGCATTTCTACGCCCCCCACAAGGGTAATAATATATATGTGTTGATGTATCAAACATATACACCAACTATTCTGTACATTCATTCGTACTTGAGCTTCCACATCCGCATGGTGGTACTATTTTAATATATATATTGTTAATCCATTCTCTTGGGGGATACCGATGCAACCAAATGTGGACACGAATCGGCAAAAGAAAAAGAGTACAGAGCCAATCAGATTGCAGGAAACCCTCGGTTCTCGAATCAACATCTAATTCGTGTGTGACTCAAATTACCATGATTAACAACAATAAATACATAGGACAAATTCATGACATACAAACACATGTGCAAATAATATCGATCGATGGCTTTGGTGCATGAAATATCCACAATATAGTTATAAAAATACCAAACCATGTTGGGATTCTGGCATTTCCACGTCCCCACCGTGGCAATATATATATATATATATATATTGATGTATCATACATACGCACCAAACTATGCAGCCTATTCATTCCTACTCAAGCATTTCCACGTCCCCATCATGGCAATATATATATATATATACATTTTGAGGTATCATACATATACACCAACTGTTCTGCCTATCATGTAGTCATATGAATTTCTCATGTCCCCACGATCATAGTCACATTTCAATAAATGTATATATATATATATATATACTGATAATACCATGTTGGGATTGAACGTTGTGAGAGCTTGATCAAACTCCTCCAGCACCGACAGTCGGGCGTTGTACACGTCGTGGTTGAGATAGTACCGATTGGCTCGGGGGGACACGAGGTTGTTGACGGCGTCGCCTTTGGCGTACTCGAGCACCAGGTGCACGTCTTCTTGGCCGCCGTCCTCGACGCTCCCGACCACTTGAACGTTCGGGTGGAACAGCGTGCGCATGTCAGTTCCCACAGCACCTCCCAGCAGCACCTACGTACATATATCGTTGGACGGTGGGTATTTATTTCAATGATACAGTACTACGAAATTGATATTGTACACACACACATCTGGTCCTTATCGAATGACGAATGGTCGATTAGTGCGATTTTATTTCTCCTTTGGAAGGACCAGCAGCACTTATCACTACCAGTACTACTTCATGGTTGCGGTCGACCCCAGATTCCAAGTCAAAATGAGGAAGTGATGATTTTTGGAGGCCGTATGTGAACTATAGACTGCAAAAGAAATGTACGGTATCACTATAGTACGCATGAAATACGGCGTCATCCAAAGTCGACGTGGAAAGCACATATATATATATATATATATATAATATTGCCAAGTCATATATATATAATATTGCCAAGTCATATATTTATATATTGTCAAGTCGAAAATCGATAGAAGTGGGTGGGATGCTACACTCAATCGAATGCGCACCACCAACTCGGATGACAATCGATCGACCAATCAAAATCCAGAATTCAACTTTAAGTGACCAATCAAAAGTCTTGCTTGAGAATTCGACTGTGGGTGTGACTTGTATTCGTGTAATACTGGTTCATTTTTACATACAAAACTCACAGTATAATCAATTGATCGATGGGCAAATGAGCACACAAATCTAAATTTTGGGTCAAAGGACGATATATACATATATATATATTGTATATATGCATAGTGTCATTTCATAGTAAATGGCGCAAATACATCAAATTTAAAAGATATGTAGTGCAACGAGATCGAGTTAGGTACCTCGAAGCCTTCATACGCGGCGCGCTGTGCCATTTGAGCCGCGTTCCCGCCTAATGCCGATTCCACAGTCGGGATGGACTTGGCCAGCTGCACGACTTGATGAAACGCTTCAGCAGAGGACTAGGAATATACACATGTGATGGACGTATGTACGGCAATAGTTGAGACGGGAGCGAAGGATGAGAGAGGGCGGCAGTGGATGGAAGTACATACCATGCTCTGTTCGGCGGCAGCGCCTTGGGAAAAGTAGTGTCCAAAGCTCTCCATGAGTTCGACGTTCGAGTTGATCCGCTCGTGGTGACGAGGCACGATATCATGACTGTGCTCGAACTTTTCCATGAGGTCTGTGGCGCGGATGCTGACGTCCACGTCAGCGGAGCAGCAGAACGCCAGTCTGTTCTTGGTGTGGTGCGCTTTCGGACGCGCATGGTACTCCATGGACGCGAGGAAGAGGGCATGTTCCGCGTCCGTGAATGCCGACGTCGAGCTGGCCTTGTCCACCGGGATGAGTCGGGAGAGCTCGTCCGCGTAGAAGATTGCGACGCCGCACGCCACCAAGGAAAGGCCGATGGCCGCCCATTGCGACGCGCTGTACATGCTGCTGATCAAAAATCAAAAGTGACGTTTCTGTGATTTGGGTTATTCCGTATTGAATATAGCAGGTTTTGTTGACATACCTGTGATATTGGATATTATATAAAAGATAGACAGGTGAATCGTCGATATTTCGACACGTAAGCAATCATTGAGTTGTTACAGTGAACGAGGGAATTTACTAACGTTATTAACATTAAGACACACCGAAGTTCGTCTGAATATTGCTGTACTTAACCAATCAGAATCATGGATTTCAAAAACGGTTGGTTTGATTTGTCAAAATAATCACCAATCAGATTTCAAGATTTAGATTTTACTTCGATTCAAAGTGTGGCTTACTGTTAACTGTAAATTCCCTCGTTCACTGTAGTTCAAATACTACTACTCCGGAGTATATACTTCGTAATAGTAATACGTAGGTGTACCGTACACAAAGCAATTTAAATGTTCTGAATTGAGTACGTAATAGAATAAATCAATGACGGAAATTTATGCTTGAATTGGTCAATCGTAAAGTCTACCGACTACCGTTACTTAACGTTAACGTTAGTCAAGTATGGCTGGATTGCTGCGGTAGCGTCTGTGTATCTCGTCGTGTTGCTTCCCTCAAAACACTTCCAGTCTTTACAACTGCTACGCAGCAATGAACTACCGGTATGTAGACGGCTCTCGGTGAGTTTGCACGTGGCAGTATATTGGCCTGCCTCGTCCTGGAGTATAAGGTCACCGCCGGCGTCCTGGAGTATAAGGTCACCGCCGGCGACAGTAGCGGTGGGCTAGCCGCTGCCCACGACAATTTATCCGCTAGTGTGCGTTTATAAGCATAGTTAGTTCGGTTGGCGTGTATCCCCAGTGCATTATCCCAGTGCATGATGCAAGTTACATGTCTGTGATTGGATTAAATCCACCAGCATTCTATATTTAGCCTTGAAACGACACCAGTACCACCACGGCCGTCGTACTTTTTGCCGACACACGATGGCAGTGGCGGCAGATTACTCTGGCTGGGTAAAGGACTTGGACTCTTTCAAGCCGTCGACGGACGATGACGACGACGAGGAAGACCGACTGCAATACATGAGTGGCGGCTACACGTCCAAGAAACCCACGAGCCACGCGTCTCAACTCGACGAAATCAAGCAGGAGATGAAGTTGCTGAATTGGCACAAACTCGCCAATGAAGCTGCGTTAAAGGCAGCGTTGATTAAAACCAAGGTACATACAGCCCTGACGAGATCCTGCATTCATACAGGAACCTAAACGACGGTGAGATGATTTAGAAACTCAAGCGCGAAGACGCGCGGCAACTGGCGCTCGTGGACGCCGAAGAGCACATGGATCGATTGCAGCAAATCGAAGAAGAGGAAAACTTGAAACCTCTCGAAGTCACTGCAGAGTTCATTCGGCAATACGAAGAAGACGAGCGAAAACAAGAGGTAGGTTGATCGTTATAACTAGATCCAATGCGACCATTCATCGTGTGACGTGGCAGCGCCGGCTCGAGGCAGACGTTTCTCGACACATTACGTGCCTAAAGAAGCTCAAAACCATGTTGGAAGATCGGGAAGACCTGCGGCGTCGGCATATTCAGTACCGCCAAGGCAAGCTCGCGCTCGACCACGGGTATTCTCTACAGGTACATGAACAAAGTCTCTTTTTCGTTTGTCCTCTTGGAAAATTGAATGTAATATTCCCACGACCTATCTACCTACCTACCTACAATAACATACATATACATATCCAAGATCATGTGTATTATCCTTGTAAATTGGCTTTGAAATAGAGCAACCAAGAAGACGATGGTCAGCAGCAGGAGAGTAAGCTCTCGTCTCGGTCCACAGGCAACTCAAACGACGTAACGCGCGTACTCTCAAGCTTGGACAAACTGGTCGAGTTGGAGCGGCGAATATCGAGTTTGGAGCAGGACGACATTGAGCCCGCGTCCGCCGCGATGGTCACGTCCTCCATAGTCAAGGACAAGGGATCGTCCACGGCACTCAAGTTTATGAAAACGTCCAAGGGCCGGACGACAGCGCAACCAATAATAGCCAAGTCAAAGCAACCCAAGTCTCAATCGACGTTCTTGACCGCCGTCCCCGACAAAACCTCTCGAGTTGGTTTGAAAGCCAAGTCGAAGGAACTGCAGCGGGCGGCCGAGTTGCGACGGATGCCCGAACGGGACCGGCTAAAAGCCCGGCAAGTAGACCAGAAGCAAGCCCTTGTGGCACGAGACAAGCAACAATCGGTCAAAATCAACCAGTGGGCCCAACAGAAGAAGCAAGCTGCGGTAGCTCGAAAAGCCAACTACGTCAAGATCAACCAGCGCACGGCAGCTGCAGCTACAGGGGACAAGGCCAAGGGAACAAAGAACAAACACATGCAGGACTTTCAAGCCATGAAGCGCGATTTCGAATCTAAGAAGAAGAAGAACATGGCGGGGGCGACGATGGGCGTCAAGGCGCCGCTGCCCCCCGTCAAGAAGAGACCCCCCCCCAATCATACAAGTCGCTGCAATTCAGGAACAATGATGCAGCCGTGGGGACCCAAGCCCAAACCCCCCGCAGAACAACGATTGCTTCCCATGATTCACGGTAGTACATACAGCTTGTTGTTTTTGAGAGGAACCCAAGATACGAAGATCGGGATCTTTGGTATTGATTGTCCTTTGACCCAAAATATGGTTGACTTTTGTGGTGATTCTTTGCCAAATCCATCGATCGATCCATTCTTTGTCCTGACAACTTTTGTAAGTAAAGATTGTCCAATATCACTCTAATTTCAGTCACACACTAGGTCGGTGTTGAATTGGTCGACGAGTGAATAATTGGATTGGCCACTTGATTAGTGTTCTGGGTTTTGATTGGTCAATCTATTGTCGGCCGATTTGGTTATTCTGCGCATTCGATTGAGAACCCCTACTCTAATTTAGAATCGACTTGACAATATGAAGGTCTGACGGGAATGTGTGTGTGTGTGTGTAGGTCGTGTGAAAGCAACTACGGGAGCAACGCACACTCAACCCCATCGACAACACCTGGCCCACCAGAAGCCGACGGCGGCCAAAACTACATCTACCCCGCCATCATCATCGACGTTGCCTCGAATGAGCCGACCACCGCACAACAACGCTGGCGGAAGTGGAGATAGTTTAGGATTGGGGGTCCGAGGCATACGGAGTGGAGGTGGATAGTGATAATATATTGTGGATTCAGAGTTCCAGACCCCGTCGAATCCAATCTCGATTATCATCATCGACGCTATTGGCTAATCCAATTTCGAGTGGATTTGATTGGCTCGTACAGAAAGGATAAGTATATTCAACCAATCAGAACTCCAGCGTGATTTAGAGGTTTAATCCAGGGGTGTATTAAATGTACAATGGTGCGTACAACAACTTGAGTTGCTTTTGAGTCTCAAACGTGTCGATAGCTTGGGGGATGCCGTCTTCGAGGTCGGGGAGGTCGTTTATCTAAAGTTGTGTATTTATAGCCAATCAGATGGAAGGAAACAGCATTCGAATCAACCAATCAACAACGGGTTTCGCCATCACGTACACATCACACGAGTTGTTCATTTATAAAGGGAGTGAATCGGCTACATGCATTTTGGAACCAGTGCTAAACCATCTCGGGATGATGATGCAAGAACAGAAAGGTACCAGTTTGCACAGGTCCAACGCAAGCGACCCGCCAATCTTGGCATCCTTGGGCGTGTCCTTGATGTCTAGGCAGATCACATGGATCGGTCGAAAATCCTTGGGCTTCCGAAGCTGCAAATCCTCCATCACGATATCGAAAATGCGATCTTCAAAGCATAGCACCACGTCCAATTTGGCCAATTCGTCCATCGAATTGTCCTGCCACTTTTGCGGCGCCTTCTTCGTGATGATGTCGCGCTCCAACATTGCCAGCACCCCGTTGCGGCGGAACCTACATGAACAGACCATGGTTCATAGCATGTGTGGGACGATAGGATGACATGCTAGGTATAGGACGTACAACTGCTCGTTTTCGCTCTTCAGTTCGCGGTACATGACTTCATATGGTGTGAAGAAGGGGAAAATGCGCGGCTCGTATGGATTCGGGCCGGGGAAACGGACCATGTTCCCTGCCCCATACGAACACACCCTTAACCCTGCGCCATGGAGATGGTCGTGCGCTTCCGTACTTCGGTTCACATTGTTCGCACAGATCATGGCAAACATCGGCGGCAACGGCGGCGCCATCCTCACTCGTCCTGGTTTTGATGCTTCGATTCCCAGTTATCCGGATACGTATATTGTTGAGCGTTTTTAATTGGATGAAATACCAAATTGTTTTCGAATAACACACTATGATTGGTTATTGTGAGCCAATGAAACGTGCCCGAATACCACACATTAGTGAACCACAAGTCGTGTGGGGAGGATCCATGTCGAGCGAAGGGTACGACGAGGTATATCGGCTCAAGTCGAACCACAAGGAGCTGCTCATGCACAAGCGAACGTTGGAGCGACAGCTCGAAGTGAAGCAGGAGCAGCTCAAGGAACTGAAGAAAGCGATTGAAGCGTGCGAAGTACAGCTGTACGACGATGCCCCGATCGTCCGCAAGCGAGACCGTGTGACATTAACCAACGGCGTCAATGGCAGCAATGCTTCCAAACGACCAAATGCATCGTCCGAGTGACGTTCATGCCGACGATTCTTGTGCACGACTCCACTTGTGCTGCTACAACGACGGCGACTTGCACGGGTCGATATATAACACTATTTATTTCACTTTCTATCAAACACTATTCAATGTCGCTCGTTCCATTTTATTTGCACTTCTCGATACTGAAACGATATATATAAAGAACATCGTTAATTAAAATAAGGATACTTACACTATTCAAGATGTGTGAACTCACACTATACTCCGGAGTATTTCGCATTCGCAGTGGAAGATACTTTCTTTGTCCCTGCAATGGTCAACGACGACATCACCACCACTGCGTCCGGCGCCGTGCCTGTCCTCCGGAGGTGGATCCACCAAGCGCTCCTTGCCAATGGTTACACGACTGTAACCCCTTCCTTGGATGATGATGGAACGTATGGCATGTTTCCACCTGTGGAGTATATCCTTCATGACGACGGCGGAACAGCCATAGCGTCCGTCCTCACGTTGCGCGGCCTTGTTGTCGGCAAAAAGTACATGCTGCATTGCGAACAACGCGCCAACAACAGTGATGAAGCGTCCATCTCAACGTGGCGCGTGGATTTCCCTCTGTCGCAATACATCCCGACACAAGCGTCGTTGTTCCCTCGGTACCAAGAGTTCGTGCGCTGGCGAGTACGCAACAGCGTCGTGCAGCACGGGTCGTCTGCTGCCCAAGCGCTCTTGTCGTCGTTGCCGACTCTTTGCATTGCATCGATCTTGTCGTTTTTAGACGTGTCCTCGCTCTGTGCGCTTCGAGTTGTCAACAAGGTCAGACTAAACTCAACCCCCCCTACTTTGTGCCATCTACAGAGGGTTCAAGGCGAAGAGATATATATGATGGTTAATGGATTTCCTCATCAACTAATTGCAAGTGTCATGTTGTGTAGACGCTCCATGAACACGCCACGTCACCGTCGATATGGAAACTTCGCGTTCACATCGGTATCCCATTCCTATTTTCACTCTCGACCAACTCATCGCATGAGATAGATTTCCCTACCGCCAGCCATGATCCCATCCCGACGTCATACTTTACTGCCTATGCCAATGCCGTCACGTACTCGTACATATCTCTCTCACCCTCTTTTGAATCCATTTCCGTGATCCATATATACTCCATGTCTTTGATAGCAAGAAGAAGCGGGAACAGCGACTCCGCCTTCGATTATCGTTGGACAACATGCTCTGGTTCGATCGAGAAGCCGGACGTGCGCACGCGCAGCGCAATCTCGCCCTTCCCCTCGCCCATATACCCCGCCTTCCATTTGAAGCGCCATCACCGTGACATGCCACACAGCTTGGTACTTGGATGGAGCGTATATAACGTTATATAAATATATATTATGAATATTTGGTACGAATTTCCCAATTCATATGCGCGATTTGTAAAACCGATCTCAAATCTTGCCGCGATATTCCTTTGGGCACGAAATAAAAAACCCATAATGTAGCCAATCAGCGAAAAGTAAGTTCATGGTGATTGATTGAACAGGGTCCGGCAATATTCGTAAGTTACTGAATCGATAATATATATATATAAGTATTATAGTACTATTAATAGTATATATTACTATCTCGACTTTATTGATTATATCAATGTGCACTGTGAAAAGTGACTATTCGATTGCGAGGCGACGTTTTCCCCGGCGTTTTGTTTCGGGTTAGCACTGTATGTACTATTAATATCAATAGTATAATCGCACTAACGTAAAAGTCCAATTTAAGGTGCACGCGAATTAGCCAATCAATTCCTACAAAGGCAGTTTTTAACCTATCCGCCCAAGAAATATGCAAATAGGTATACAAAGACTAAGCTTAAAATGGTGCACCTTAAATTGGACCGCTTGTTTTAAGACAAAGTGATTGATAATGAATTATAACAGGAATCACAGGAATCATATCGCATTCATAACTCCCAAATAGGCCTGGATTTTGGCTTCATGTAACATATTGTAGAATTATAATCCGATACCTACGAGTTACTTGCCTTCCACGGCAGCGTCTCGGAAAAAGTGTTCTGAAATTGGACTTTTCGTTACGTAGTATATAGTAATTGGAAGGAGTACTATCGTAATACTAGATACTATTTGATTTTTATCCCTCAAAGTCCATATCACTACGTAGTAATACTCTTTTGAGTCTTTCTACGAATACAAGCGCCTGTATTGCCATACCCAACACAGTTGAACTACTACTACTACTGTACATAAAAATATCGTCATATATATATATACACTCCTTGCACGAATGCAAGCTTACAGCGCCACGTCACGGGGGTCAGATAGACTGATAGAGTCGGCGTGGGCTGGACTGGCGCTCTCAATGTGAATGGCTTGCAGTTGCGGCACGACGCTGGCCCACCTGGCTTCCACTCGGGTATTGTAGTCGATCTGGAGCTCCACGTAATCCAGCACGATGCGCTTGAAGTCGCTCAGTTTGTCCAATTTAAAGCGATCCACCTCCCGCACCACGCGCTCTGTGACAATGTCGTGCTCGAGCTTGGCATCGTCTACACGGTGTTGGGCCTACTCACCCCCAGTGAAAATAATAATATATGAAAACACATCAATTGCAAAATCTAGACCAACTTGTACACAATCGAAATAATACAACGATATGTACAATATATACACTTGTTTGTGTCCAAAGCAACCTACCCACCAAAGTCACAAATACATATTATGCATTCGATTCCAAGTTGGAGTTTGGTTAAACCAATCGAATAGCGCAGATAATCGAAATCTAGCCAATGAAATTGCATCAAGTCTAAATTCCAACCAATGGCAGTCCAAGGCTTTCGCCCATTTGTCCCAGTTGAACTATTTATATTCAATTTTCTATGGTATACATTGATTGAATGGTATACAATTGTCCTTTGAGTCGATTTCTCAAATAAACTGTCCAAATTTGGGTGAAAAGGACAATATATATATATATATATACAACATGCATGGGTACACACCCACACATGACTCGTACAACTCGTCTGAATCCACGCAACGACACTGCAAAGACTATCAAAATACAAAATATAGCCATAAAATCACAAATATGTGTGTTTAAACCATTCAACCAAACATTTCAAGAAAAATGGCCCCTATGCTAGAGAGATTTCGACCCGTATATCAAAGATATATATATATATATACCTCTTTGGAATACGAGTCGAAAGATCTCTAGAATATATATATATATACCTTGGACACATCGCTTTCGGCGCTTTGGACCTTGTCGTGGCTGCTTCCCTTGGCTATTGCCTTGGCCAGCGCCGCCTTCTTGGTGTCCAAATCTGCCACGGCCGAGTGGTACACCTGACGCACTTCGTTTCGCTTGATCAAGGCGGCTTTTACGGCGCCCACGAGCCGAATGTAGTCGACAATGGGCTCTTCAAATAGCAATACTTCCTTTTCCGCCTACAAATACAAATATTATCGACTCGATCGCAGCCTTGATAAAAGTGTCGTGTGATCTATTCATGTGAACGATATAAAGCAATGTGGTCACAGAAGACGATATATATATATATATCGTAAAACGAATACAACATAGCCTCAAACCGTGAAATGATGGGACAAAGGCGATTCAATGAAACGGGTACGTTTTATGTAGTTTATATTTTTACAAACAACAACACAATATTGTATAAAACAACTATTTACACTTATTTCAAATAGTGTATATAAATAGTATGTATGTGAAATAAGTCTAAGTAGTTTTATATACAGCATACCCCAAAATTGGACAAGTTTTGAATTTGTCCACAAGTATATATTGAAAAACTGATCATCACAATATTCCTCTGAAACGTAAAATCAATACGTCGAGCATACAAATAAACAAGTATTTCGATAAAAAAAGATATATATATAGACAGTACATGCTCGGCGGCCAACACGGACAAGGCGTCGGCACACGAGCCGACATACCGCAGCGCCGTTTGCAGCGACTCGTTCTCTTCCGACTGCCCTAGCAACGTCAGGGCGACGCCATACTCGAACAAACCATCGGCAATTTCGCGCGCGCGCTTAGTGAGTCCATGTGCGTGCTTCGCGAGGCCTTGGATGATGGGTTCCAGGGCATCCATGTAGGCCGCGATGTCTTCAACTTGGACGTCGGCGTTGGTCTTGAGCTTGTCGAGGAAGGTCGTGGACGTGAGTGTGTTCGAGATGGACGCGACCGTGTCGCTCATGTACTGAAAGAGTCCGTTGCCACTACCGCCACCGCTAGAGGTGCTGCTGCTTCCCTTGGCCTTGTCGGCTTTGAAATGCGTCAACGCATCGTCGGACGCCTCCAAAAACGTCGTCAAGTGGTCGGAATGCTGAATCTCGGGGTGCGCACCACACCGACACAGAAACAGATGCAGCGCGCGGCGGCGCGACTCGACAAACTCGGGGGAGAAGCGACCCACGAGTAACTTCTCGGGCAACGGCGGCACGACCACCCCGGGGTACTGCGCGCACAACGATGCATGCAGCCACACAAAGTCGGAAAATCGTCGGATCACCGAGAATTGGCTCTTCTGGAACTGCCGACGGTCCGTGGACGTCGTGATCTTGTACGAAATGTACGCGTGCATGCCTTCCCCCTGCTTGACAGGCTCGCCCACGTCGATGTGCATGTGTTCGGTCGCGCCGTACCTATGATTCCCTCCAGCCGTTGTTGGCGGCGCAGAGGTACCAGAGGATGGAGGAGGAGGCGGGGACGACGATGCTGCCGCTGCTTGAGTGTTCGACGACGCTGATGGAGCGCCAGAAGCGGACGAGCCCGCGGCGCCGCTGTCAAAGTCCACGTTCACCCACTTGCTCATGCGTCGGAATCGGCGGAATCTGGGAAGTGACATGAGTATTCAGCCAATCCAAACGCTGCATGCAGATCTAGACAAATACTATAAATATAGTTGAATTATTTCTGAATATTGAGCCAAAATTGAGTAAAAATGGATTTGGCTACTATCCGGTTAAACTTGCCAATTGTGAAATTTGCAAAAACCGACTCAGATTCAGGAAATTGCGTCATAATAGGGTGATGATTATGGATTGTAAATCCCACTTTTTGTCATTCGGATAATTTCGCGGACATTGGGCATTTCAAGAACAATTTTGAAACGGAACGTCGTCGCGACATTTGATTGGTTGATCTGAAATTCCGTTCTGCTGATTGGCTACATTATTCTTTCTATTATGATTGTTATTCATGTCCCTTTTACGGATTATTGGGTTGCGAATCAAATTGGGAAATTCACGAATTATAATTCAAGCTAGTTTTTTGCCCTTCCTTAGAACGTTGCGACCTTACTCGTCAAGTCCATACTACAGTATTGCGATCACTACTATTATTGTCAAGTCGATTCGTAATTGGAGTGAGCAGAACCACCAAATCGGCCATCAATCGATGTACGACCAATCAAAACCCAGAACATTCTAATTCAAAACCGAATTAGTGTGTGACTGAAATTCGTGTGAGACTGGACGATCTTTACGTATTGTTTATGTGTTGAAACTGGAGCGACATGGAGAATGAATCGACACAACCAAATAAATATACACATGAATCATCGGCAGAAGGATTTAGCCAATCCGATTGCAGGAAGCCATCAACAAAGTCAAATTAGTGTGTGACTTCAATTAGTGTGATACAAAACAACTCTTTTACATACAAAATTCAGTACAAAGAATCGATCGATGATAGATTTGGCGAATCAGCACAAAAGTCAACCAAATTTTGGGTAAATGGATAATAATAGTTTATGCATAGCCGCCATATCCTGATACGATTATTTAGCAAACGAGCAATGCAGTATATATAGTCCAACATGCGATTAAATTAAACAGCTCTTGAGGTTAAACTACCCGTCACCTCCATCGTCCTGCTTGGACTTGAGGTATCTCTACAAACGAAAACGTCATTCTATTGATATATATATATATATACATCTACCTGGAGGTAGCTCTTGACTTGTTTTTTGTCTTTTGTCTGGAGGTAAAACGCCAACTTGCTCACATCTACCCCATCCATCATAGATATCGTATTTCAATATATATATTGCTTAACATACCTCGATACCCGTGGACTTCAACCAGTTCGTGAAACGTTTGCATTTCAACATCTGTCCATCTTGAATACGATCTCTGCGACGATGTCGTTGAGCCCGTGTTCTAATTCAAATATAATATATATATATTTGTCATCAATTCAAATTTATACATATATGCCTGAATGGCTACATTTTACTTACCCCTGTATCAGACCGTTTCCACTCTGGCGCGACATGTTGGAGCACAGTTCGGCACTGGTACAAGCTTTGATGGTCCAGTTTACACTGTTCACACATTCCTAAGACACACGAAAAATACGATTATATTTGTCACACGAATTCTTAAATATATCCCTAGATATATATATATATATGTCTTACGTTTAAATATACGTCGAGGGTGTGGAGTTGTCGGTGGGGCTACTTTGGCTGTGGGTATTGAAAACGTTGCTACAGGATACGGTGAATGTATTAATATTAGAACCATTCAAATATGTCGACAATGCCAAACGAGTTATAAAATTCTGGATAAAAAGCACAGTTTAAAAAAGGCGATGGAGGAAGTTTGCCGCAGGTCTATATATATATATATTTATATATGACTTACGCATATACGGCCAGCCCATGGTGGGAAGGGGCATGTTGTTTACCATCCCCATCAAGAGGGTCGAATGCGACGGCATCATAGGGGGAAGCGGCAGCACCATCGACGTCTTCCACGACGGAGTTGTGTGCTTCCAGCCGGCGCGGCAGTCTTTTACGGACTTGCCTGAAGATATTTTCAACAAGATTTAACGTAAATACTCGAAAAGATCGGGGTGAATAGATAGTATCGCTGTTCTTGACAAGTCCAATAAACTATGATACATTTTTCACACATATGTACAGTAGTACATCCGAGGGGCTCGATACAAACACGCACTCTGTAGTACCTCGACAATTAAAAACAGATGGAAAAACACATTCAATTACAATATATATATATATTATTGTTTTTGAAAAATAAACCAACAGGTAATAATACCACATGTGTACCACACACACACACAACATCAATGCATATCTTCCAATGTCAATATATATATATATATATTGTGAATTCGCTATAAACTTGCAAAATTCGCGTGGTTTGTCTAAATCACGCTGGAGTGTTCTGATTGGTTGAATAACTTGTCCCCCTTTCATTAAGAACCAATCAAATCCACTCAAAATTGGATTAACCAATAACGTCAATGATTCGTGATTCAATTCGGCAGCGAGATTCGATTCGACGGAGTTTGGAAATTTGTGCTACCGAATCCACAATATATAGTCGAATCCACACTTACTATACATGAATATATATATATATATATATATATATATATATACCGAGTCGGTGACACGCCAGACACTCTTCTTTTGCCACCACGAGGCGGTTTTTCGCTGGCAGTTGAAAGTAAGAGTCCATGGAGGGGTTGGCAAATGGGTGGTGCAGAGGCATCGCATCGTCCTGCGTGGGCGGCAGCGGCACCGGACACGGCCGGAGCATGGAATGTCCTTTGAGAGACGACGGATGATGGGGAGGCGGCGGCGGAAGCAGCGGTGACGTCCCGAGGTCTGGTCCTGGGGCATGCAAGAGCGGGAGCGGGAGCTTGTCCTAGCACAATATATCAGGTATCGAAACCAATATATATATATATATGTACGTGATCTTCCTGTTCTTTGACTTTTTTTTGAAACGACAAAAACTTTTTTTCGGTCCGCCGGCGCGCGCGAAGGCTCTCGTTGGCGTGTAGGGTCGATAGAAGCAGACTCGGCTCCTTTGTCATGCCATGCGAGGGCGGCTGGATAGACATGAAGACGAGGAAGATGGATGGATGGATGGGTCGAGGTACCTCGTCATGTGATGCCGTGCGCGGTTTTTTGGGGAAAGGCGCGTCCATCCCAGACGACCCGCCATCCTGAAGGTTGATGCATGACCGGGAGTGAAGGAGGAATATACGATGTTGCCGACATACCACACTGACAAAGACCCCGCAGAGCGAGTCTACAAAGTTGGCCATCTCGACTAGATTCTTGTGTAGCAAGAGTTGGTACGCCGCTGCGTTTTGCAAGCACGTGTCGTTGTCGGGCGGCGAGTCGTTCCACTTCTGCTGCTCCGCCACTGCTGCAAGAAGGTCTTCGTTCACCTGGAGCATCTACGTCCTCACATTCCTTTAGACCACATCATGGTACGACTGCAAGAGGGGATGGACCTGCTCGAACACGTCGCACAGCGTCGACGGGTCCTCGTCTTGTTGCATGTAGGAGACGTGGGAGACGGCAACCGCCAAAATGGACCAATCAACCAACAGGAATAAACGGCAGTATTTTAAATGGTTTTATAATTCCTCACAGTTCTTATTTTAGCCAATGAAATCACAGCAATCAAAGAATTCATTTTTAAAATGTTTGCGAAACTCTAATGCCATGGACGACTGCGGCGGCACGCGGTCACTTGAGTGTTGTCTAGTGGTTGCACAGCGATGAACCACGCTGCAGCAAACAACCACATGGAGGTCGTCGTCCAGTGGCTCCATCTGTATCGAAACGAACGTTGTACAACTGATGCCATGAACTGAGCGGACAGCGTACATTGAATCCGCTGTTCGACCTCCTCAAGCGACACTGCGAGAGGCGATACGTAAGTACTTGGTCCCCTCGGCTTTTCTGTCATCCTACATGGGGGACACCAAGTATGACTCGGTGATCGACGATCCAACCGCTCCGTCGGTTTGGTCGACAGCCACAATACGCCCAGTATTTGACAGATGTGCTTGGGAACACCGATCACGACAGGCATCTTGGTGGATGGATATTTGCACGCACAATGCCGAGTGCTTCAATGGCAAACCAAGTGCCCTAACCATTCACTGAACAACATTCGTCCGTTTCCAGTGTGAACATGCATGCTATGATGTAAACCCATTCATCTGTTGCCGTCAATAATCCGCATCTCGGGAGCCGATCTATACCAGGATGACCTGTGAATGTGTACGAGCTGTACAGTGTATATGCAGCTCAATGCCATCAACCAACCACACATCGATGACTTGCTTTTTTAGGATTTCATTGTAGGGTAAGAGCTAGCTTTTATGTAACTTTTGTTTCGAGTGTGTTTAACATCGTGAATCCACCACCCCCCTGCCCCGAGTTGTCTATGTTACCTAAAGTTCTTCCCACTTCGTTCCCCACGATTTCCCTTTGCCGGTTGTTCACGTCCGCCCCCCCCATCCCCCGCCCCCATCCCCCCATCCCCGATCATCAAAACAGGATCAACGTGTAGTGTAAATGATAACATTACCGACTTTGCCTCGGGTTGTCGAACCCGTACACTCGGACGGGTTTTCGCCCCCCCGCTGCAACGTACGCGTTCGTGACAGCAGCGACAAAGTCCTTGGGACCGTTCACGATCACGTCGACATCGTCGAGGGAGTTGGGCGCCAATTCGACGAACGTTTCTTCCGTGACTTTCGATGCATAATGCATCGAGCATTGGTCCCACGCATTCAGGTCGCCGTACCGACCCCCCTGCGACGCTTGGAAGGCGGCGATGTCGTCAAAGGTCGGCGCACACTGCAATGCAACAACCCGGCCGCGGTACGAATCCTTGACGCTGTGCAGGCCTTGCATCATGGCGACGAAGGGCGCGGCGCCGATGCCGTAGCTGATGAGCAAGACGTCGGCGGGGAGGCCGGTGTCGGGGGTGTCGATCTCAAAGTTGACGTTGGACGCAACCCAGAACAGCTTGAGTTTCGAGCACATGGCTTGGCGGCACAGCCAGTCGGACGCGGCCACGTCGACGCAAATGTCCAACGACGACGTGGCGCGGTCGTGGAACGACGCGATGGGAAAACACACTTTGGTGTTGCCCGAGCCGAGGAGGATCCCGTCGCCGGGTTGGAACCGCAGCGGAAAGTCAAACTCGAGTGTGAGGCGCCGCGCCTTGGACGACACCACATCAACGTTTGTGATGGCACACGGAATGGAATCTTGCACGGGGTCGGGGGCGTAGTGCACGACCACTGGCAGCACGAGGTAGAAGAGCAGGCAATACGCCGTCATGTATGCCTCCTTGACATGTCGGGACCACGAAGACCCGCTGATGACCTCAAGCGTCTTGATCAGCGTCACCCCCATCGTCGCATAGTCTTGCCGTTTGACGCCAAACTTGAGGTGGCCAGATGCAAGCGCTTGCATGCGCTCAACAATGTTGCTGGCAGACATGACCCCCGTCATGACTTTGATGATGGACGCCAGGGATTTGCCCTGCAACGTGAGGCTGGAACGGAATATCGCACGCAACGACGGGTCGGCGTTGAACAGCAGCGCGTAGAACGTTCGGTGGAAAAACTTGTCGGGGGACCCGTGCTTTTCCACGTCGAACGATGACGTGCCCACACACACGGCGGACCAGTTGGCTTTGATTAGTTCGACGTGGCGCGGCGTGAGCACTGGCATCTTGATGTCCAGCGGCATGTGCTGCGCATACTTTTGCGCAAACCCGGGCTTGATGCCGACGCTCCCATCCGGCGTGGCAAAGATAATTTTCGAGTGTTTCGAAGACAATGTGCCGCCCATGGCCAAGACAGACGAATGAAGAAATGGCAGGATCGACCGATGGATGGACAACGAGGATGTATATAATAACGTTATGGTCAGACCAAAGTGTGTTTTTGCCTGCCTTAGTAGTGTGGGGTTTAAAGGCGGCAGGAGATGCCATTTGGTTCCGTTGCAAGGGGGAGAATGTTCCACGAGCAAAATCTCGTTCAAAGTACCCTTCTGGATCATCAATTATCGAACGATTAGACAGCCACGACGTAAAGAGATGCGCGTCCAACTGTGCAAATGTGTCGGTGTGGTCGGTGGCGTTAACTTGTTCAAGTGCCAGTCAACGAGCGTGGGCTGGCTGGCGTCACCTAGTACAAGTCAACCATGCCCGACCGTGCAGAGTATTGTGAATACTGTACAGTGAATTCGCTATAAACTAACAAGATTCGCGAGGTTTGTCGAACTATATTGAATCACGCTGGAGTTCTGATTGGTTGAATATACTTGTCCTCCAATCAAGTCCACTCGATATGCATCGATTCTTGGCGAGACGGGATCTGGAAGTTTGTACTGAATCCACAATACCTGCCATATTTCTTTTATTGCCATTGGACGTCTGAGTAATGGGAACGGCATAGTGATGTTCCACGACTTGTGACGGCATTGTCTATTGGATTGCTAGGTCGGTATGTTGCGATCTTTTGGTACTTATGCCTGTACTGTAACGTTACAGCTATAGGACTGATGGCTACTACTACTGTACTAGGGAGTGCCGTATCCAAATACTACTGAAGTACATTATTAATTGTAGTGTACTGCAGGTGTACATCCCCACATCCCCATACCATAACGACTCGGACAAATATTTGCTGGATATGTGCTTCGGACCCGCAATTGACCGAATTACGCATTAACTGTAAATGCGAATAGTTGCCTTGTCCGGGTAGCGGCACGGCCTGCCGATTTTCCCGACAAGAGGAATCGATTGGACATTCGGTGAAGTGCACGATTGGGGCTCACTCCTCCCCAAGGCACTACGTGCACAAAATTATACACACGACCTCCGCTACGCTGCGCGCAATTTTGTGGGCGGATGCTCTGTCGTCCAATACAAGTGTCAAGTATGTCCGACTGAAATTGTCCGAACGGTGTCCGCAAAGTGATCATATTCACCCCTACTATTAATGTAAGTTAGTACACACTCCTTGCCCTTTCGTGCCTCGATAGGATTGGCTAATAATTCAAACTAACATGTAAAACGAAGTATAGGATTGGCTAATAATTCAAACTAACATGTAAAACGAAGTACTGTAATTGCTTCGAAAATTGATGCGCCACATTTCAAGTCACAATGCCGACTCTATCTCCAACGGTCGGGAGGAAGCAATACTACTCCGTAAAGGCAAATGTTGCGATTGTTATGAAGTTCAAACAAGGAACCAGTCGACTCCATTTGTCCCTTCATATGAAATATGATCGTTCAAACTTCACTGGTTCTAATTTTATCCAATAGCTATTGAATACTACTATTAATATTGCTCGATCAATTCTTGGTCAAATTTGATTTTGAGGCGTAACATCCCATCACCAGTTCGAGATTTGTCGAAACTACGCCTCGTTTTCCTTCAATTTTGAGGAATGAATACTAGTATGAAATAGCAGCCAGATGGTTTGTGAAATGTTGGAAGTTTCTACCATAGGTGATGCGCACCATACTCCGTAATACTTCGAAGTAACATTCAGAGAAAAAATCAGAGGTATATAGATCCATAATGAATACCGGTACCGTAGAGCATCTTCACCCGTCAGACTTATAGCTGGTGGTCGTTGGGGCTATAGTTGTCTAGGTGGGGGAAATGACGACTGGGGGAAATTGTAGTGATAGCCGGAGCTGAAGATGTAGTCGTGGGGGAAATGGTTGAGGTTCCCGTCCGCATAGCGATGGGAGCGAAAACGCAAGGCCAAAGCGGCCGCAGTCCTGCTTATCGACACGAATGACCCTCAACTGCCCATCAACAGTACTAGTTCGTCGACCACCGACTCGCTGAGCCCCCTTGGAAAGACACGACCAAACGATCTTGACAATGTATTCAAAATGCATACTACTACAGTATTAATAGTACACATTGGTGCGACTCGCTGAGCCCCCTTGGAAAGACACGAACAAACGATCTTGACAAAGTATTCAAAATGCATACTACTACAGTATTAATAGTACACATTGGTGCCATACTGTATTGTTAGTTACACCATTTTGCGGTTAATTTCGAAAAAATTCTGGTATATTTCGTGGAATCCCATTTAAATTGGCGTTATTGATGAGAACTGCCGCCAGAGCTTGTCCAGAACCTCTTGGGATTGACATATTCGATAACGTTAGATATCATCAACGAAGCGCTAGATGCAGCGGCGACCCAACCGTTATTTTGAGGTCTTGGCGCTCATGACGGAGCGAAGGACCATTGGATCTCCCTCCCTGTGTAATTTATGGCGCGGCTAAGCATGGCGGTTCGTTCATGGTACAGTATTTACAGTAAACGACAATACGGCCTCGATAACGCCGTGGCTCGACAGCACTTGACAACGGCTACGTTTTTGCTCGAGAATACGTGCCATGTATCAGCTTACTCGATAGATTTGGTTCACAAGCATGGACATGTGGCGATGGCGTAGCTGTAGACAATTCAAGTCCACCGTCGGTTGTACGACCAAAGCGTTCGCCATGGCCGCGAGAATGGTCATCCTTCTGGTTTCTGGCTCCACGACACGTTGATGGTACTGGGCTTGACCAAAGAAGCCGTGCATGGAGCCATCAAGAATACTAGTAAGGAATAGTTTTCTTTAGGAAATCTATACACTATTAACGTTAATAGTATTTGTATTTACTTATTTATCCAAAAGATCTACCAGTACTACGTAGTAACGAATTACTGGTTAGTAAATATTCTATTGACTATGTCAAGCACGCGGATGTGGTACGGTGGCTTTAAACGAGGTACAGTACCCGGTCGAGTCCGCAGGGATGACAGACGCGCGGAGGCCATGGGCAACATGGGCGTTGGGATGTGAAGTCACAGCAACGATGCTGCATGCGTCGTTTAACGACCATTTCTATATTGAATTGACTTTTATTGCGTGATTTCCATTTTCATCGGACACATGACACAATTATTCGGGCAGACGGACAATTGCTTGGGCACACGGCCAAATATATCGGGCACACGACCAAATATATCGGGCACATGACATCCGTGTGCCACATTAAATGGCCAATTTATATCGGGCACATCGCCAAATATATCGGGTACACGGCCAAATATATCGGGTACACGGCCAAATATATCGGGCATTCGTCCAACTTAACTGCAAAAAGGTGTAGTAATCGTTCAGGACTTGTCATTTCATGTAAGTAGTAACGTCAGCGTTGGCCTTGCCAATATCATCGTCATGACCGGATTGCAGAGGGTACAGTACATACTGTATACTATGTACACGCCAACGGAGAAGACACTTCAGAACAGCAACACTACAGTAAACAACCTGCCGCTTGGATTGAACCGAAAATGCATGTACCACCACTAGTTTCTCTAGTTTCGATGGTGACTTAGTGTGATGAATTCGTTATTTTCGAAAGTCACGCCTACACATATCTTTATCGTCGTGACGTTAGACAGTGTTGCACTCCCTGGATACAACTATCCAATCTTTGGCATCCGCCATTCTACCCATCGAACACACGATGTGCTCGACATGGACAATCTGGTAGCCACTAATTTTAGTGGATGAAACAGTAAACCCAAGTAAACAAGCCCCCCCAACAACAACAAATATGACATTTTCCCCAACTGTTTACACCGTGAATTTCCACAGTTTGAGCATCTTGTCGCCGCTGGACGTGGCGAACGCTGGAATACTCGGGTGCCAACAACCTTGCAAGATCATTTCCTTGTTTTCTCGGAACGTTCCTCGCACGTTCCCGTTGTCGTCCAGCACACACGTCGTGCCGTCAAACGACGCAGTTAGCAGGAGGCTTCCGTCGGCGGGGGACCACGTCACCACGCGGCACTCGTTGCTGTGGTGCCGCAAAGTTGCTACTGGCATTGCGGATTGCCGTCGATCCCACACCAAACAACTGCCGTCGCTCAAGCCCGCTGCAATTTTCCAATCGGCTAGCATCGCAGATTGGTGAGAAGAACATACATAGAAACTACTGAGGTTTACATTGAAGGGGGTGACATGCTACTGCTTGCACTGGAGCAGACGCCTGAAACATACTTTGGCAGCTCCCGGTTCGAAGGTCCCATAGTCGGACCGTACAGTCTTGGGACCCAGTGATACATCGATCGCCCAAGCGCAGGAATGCCAACTATGCATCGTAACAGTGCAGAGAATGTGAGCTGAAGCATACATACACCAAACTGATGGAAAGAGAATATATATTTTTGATAAAAATAGAAAATTTCGGTAGTGCAACTTGCCGATGTGAGTTCGCCCATATGTCCGTGCAATTGCATCAACGGGGTGTCGGATGCAGTTTGAACATCCCAGAGCCGCACCAGGGTATCGCCCGATCCCACCGATCCCAATATATTTCCTAATCAACACAACTCATGAAATATCCAACTACTAATCTCAGTAAATAATTTATATATATTTATTTGAATGGTGTCAAGTACGTACCATTCTGTGGACAGAATTGCACTGCTCGAACTTTGCCTCGATGTCCTGCCAACACGAGTGGCGGTGCATCCAACGCGAACGGCTTGACGATATGAATGCTCGCATCGCTCGAACCTGTATCATCATCATGCACACCAAATGTATTGGGTCCAACCAGAATATATATATATACCCGAGACTTTCACGAACGAGATATATATATATATATCGCACTCACCGGTAGCCACCAACCCATCACGAGGGTGCCACGCCACGCTATAAATGGGACCACTGTGGTGCTTGTAGTGTTCACTCACGACCTAGTTTGTTCTCAAATATTTCAATAGTTCAGTATTTGCCTCAATTTTGCAATTCTTTCGTACGGGTAATAATTGTCGAGTGGCCAGGGGTTGCCCGTTGGACTTGGAGACGGCGTCGTGAATGTTGAGCACTCGAAGCACCCGGGCGTTGGTTCCCATAGCGACGTACTTGCCGCTGTGACTGATGGCCATAGCTCGGATTGCCTATAAATACATTTTGAATAAATGAACTAGTGTAGCCTACTAAAGAATTCCCCTCAAAGATTTCAACGACGCACTTGCGCTTCTCTTGTTTCCGCCACGACGGTAGCATGATATCGCTCCGCGTTTTCTTGTCGGGTAAACTTGAGCACGGTGCCGAGTGTCAGAGGAGGGGGTGGTTGTTGTTGCTGCTGCTGCAGTAGTGGCTGTAAAACGTGCTGCTGATTTGTGTGCGATACTGTTTGCGGTTCAGTCCATGCATTAGGAGTCGTGGAGGAGAAGCGGGCAGGTGGGCGAGACACTGGCGGGGTGATACGTTGTTGATCGCGTGGTTTAATTGGAGGAGCAAACAGGAGGGGCTGTGACGATGTGATGGCATTCGTCTGGGGCGAGAGCTGGACATTATGAAACAATGAGGTGTCAACAGGACCCAAGCCCACCGAAAGTCGAATCATATCGTTGCGGGATGATAATAATGGCTGAACTGGGTTTGGAAGTCGACTCAGCCCCCCCCTTGTTGTTTCCGTTGCTGGTACAACTGTGGCTACAGGGATAACATGGTGGAGGTCTGATTTGTGTGGACTGGAAGCTGCTGACGCCCTGTAGTTTGACTGATCCAGATCAATCTCGTCGTCGTAAACTTCATCATGCGGCTCGCGGGGATCCAAACTCGAAGAATCCTCCGATCGTTCGTGTCGAAGTGCTCGAGGGTGGGAGTGATAGTTGATGGGGGGGCTACCATCGTGAATCAGTTGATTGTTTCTTTCGATGGAGAAATGCGTAATCGAACGACGCAAAGGGCTAAAGGTCCCTGGGGGTTGCATCGTCGAGCCACCTGATGTTGTTTGACATTCAGCGTGGACGACTACTAGCGGTGTAGAAGTTGGTTTGCCGTCCATCGTGGTCTGTGTGGCCCAGGATTGCGAGGTCACTGCAGTCGTTTGAATGGAGATCGAGTGAGTTCTGGCTGGTGCGGGAGCCTCATCTGTTTGAGTAGGGCAGTCTTGGCCGACGATACAAGCTTGGACGAGTTGGTGGTGGAGCTGTGGCGGGGCGTTGGTCTGGGTGGTCATTGTCGCGCAGGGTTTATCAATTAGTTTTGTCTGGCTCGATCGATCGACTTTTATTCCTCCAATAGGTTCATCGTCAGTTTGACTGGAACTGTCTTCCAGTGATATGGAGATGGTTGGGGGCACAACATCCACTGGAGGGCAGACATAGGTGGGCCATTCTTCAGGAGCGTGGTGAGAGGAGGGGTATGATCGCCTCGTGCTTGCAAGTGTTGTGTGGACTGGGTGGTTCTTGTCGGTTACATTCGGATCGAAAGGTGCTCGTGGGAGGTTGAGATAGAGTGCGCTGGTGTTGGGTGGATGCTGTCGGCATGTCCATTCAGATGACAAGCAATCCCACCACAAGGGTCTTGTCTCTCGTCCAAGCAATGTCGTGGTAGCACCATCAGACGTATACTCGTGCATGATGTCCTGGTTGTGGCGTTGCAACTACGTCCGCAACTTTCATTCTTGTGTTCTGTGGTCGAGATGTTTGGATTACCTCTTGATAAGACATGGCTTGACCCAACAAGGTCTGCAAATGCAAGCGGGGGATTGTTGTGTATCGCTGCATGTTGTCAGGCACATCCCGCAGACTTGCCACGAGTTGCTGATAGCAACGCATACGTTCGAAATGGACATTCCACGAGCCGAAAGTTTCTCGAAACGTTGCTTGCACATCCACGACATAGACGAGATGTTTGAGACCGGTCGCCGCCGCCGGGGCGACCTTTTTCAGTCGTTGCCACCACTTGATTCGAGCTTGGGGCTACAAGGGGCATGACATGCTGTTTTATTCATTGGACTGACTCGTGGATGGTGTCTTGACACGTACTGTTTCCATAGCAACACAAGCAGCGCAATACGCGTGCGTCAGAAGCACCGACACCATCGAACGATAAGCAGGTTGGTCGAGGTCCAGAAGTGGTTCCAGTAGCTCTACGGCGAGCTCATAATCGCCGCCCAATATACACCGTCGCAACTGGGACACAAAGGCACTGGGGCCGCATAGCCATGTGGTGTCAATGTCGGATTCTTCTAGGAGGACTGCGACACTTTTGTACAGGCCTTTGTGTTGGAGGTAGTCCTGACAATAATGATAGCACCAGGTTGTTAGCATGATTCGTGCATCTTTGGCAGTACCACAATCAAGAGCAGTATGTCTTCATGCAAGACTTCCATGATTGCTTGGCCAAAATCGATCATTGCAGCCAACGACGCAATAGTAAAAATAGATTCAATAGTAAAAATAGATTCTGAATTATACTGCATCAATTTGATATTTCCCTGGTCATCACAATAACTAACGTTCCTGTACGAGCGCTTGCGTGTGGATTAGTTTCGACGGCAGGTGAAGGCACGGTACTGTCGACCTGCATAACGGCATGTCAAGATCCCACTAACGTTAGCTCGAGCGGGGGCGTGGCCATTGCAAAACGAAAAAGTACTCGTGCATTCAGTCGTAACCGCCGATGTAACCACCTCAGCACAGTCGACAAACACGGTTACTTTTTGATCGGATTAATTAAAATGACAATTGAAACGTCCAATCAGCACTGTTGGTCCATCAAACAGACAGATATACCCTTTCACATGGCCGACAAACCCACCCCCACCAAGTCCGCGGTAGAGCCCCTCGCAATCGCCACCGACACCCTCCATATTGACGCGCCACATGCCACGCCCGTCCAGGCTTCTGGAAGGTCGGCGCACTACTTTCGGAACTGCTGCATCGCATTTGCCGCGGTTATCGTGCTCAGCGTCGGGGGAACGATGATTTGGTACATGTGCTCGGACCCTGTCGAAGCGTTTTCGGAGCCTCCTCCCGCTTACAACGCCAGTGCGTGCCAAGCCTGCTCTCAACTCGGCTACATTGACATGCGACCGTCCAAGTACCGCCGGTACAACGGGGTTGAAGACATTTGCCCCAGCTCGTTGTTTCCTGGAGACAACGTGGAATGGCTTCCGATGAAACCGATTTCATCGTCGTGCTGTTGCCCCCTCACGGTCCCAAGTCGTGAAGCATCCGACTACTACTACCGCATCGACTATCCCTATACATTTAACGCCACCACGTCCGACAATTGTACTTGCAAGTACAAGTACAGCTCAAAGTCCGATATGGGGTCGACCCGAGGATGGACTATGGTTTTTGCTATATGCGGCATTCTAATTGTGATCGTTGTGTGGTGGTGTATGGTGGGCTGCCATATGATGCTGTGTCGCAAGTAGGCTGCCAAGCTACAGCACAGTACCTAACAACCAAATGTTTGAACCACTTTTGAATTGAGTGTGATCAAAACTTAAAAGTAGACAAGCTGTGGAATTTGCACTTGTCGTATGAATACCATGCAGTTGACCAAGGTTTCACCTGCTCTTCATGGTTGGAGGTTGTTTCTGGCAAACAGGGCACTGTACAGTACATATACCGTTGGTGCTGCGACTCGAAATTCGAGCATCGTGTAGGCGTTGGTTGTAACTTACGCGTTTAATGCAAGTAGAGTGCCTTGCCACCTCTCCAACATATAGTTGTCAAGATCAATCAACAGGGTAGGTGGGCCCTAATATGGAATTGCTTGTAAATCAGACCTTTACAGTTAAGTCTGAGGAGTGGAGATGCTCTTAAAGTGTTCATTAAGGATGGAGGGGTGCGAGTGGAAGGCCTGTACAGTATTATTGCCCTTCTGCGCATTGACAACGTAAGGTAACGTTATCCCAGTTCCAGCTGGGAGAGGGCCGCCACCTTTCCAAGAGTACAGTACCCCCGGCAGTAGCAATACCGGCTCACGTGTAGAAATCTGATGCAGCACTATTTGCATTTGTTTACCAGGATTTACCCCTATTTCGAATGGATTTGATAATATTATGTCACGTTTCCCTAAAAAGTCCATTTGCCCTTTCGCTGTAGCTGGAGAACTACAGTAACGGTATACAGTACGGTTTGGACGTGGTGTTGGAAACACCTTCGCAGGACACTTCCAACAAATGACAGCAACAGTGTAATCTGGCATCAAAATATGATTCAAGGGACATCATCACCGTGTTGGATAAACTAGTGGACAGCATGCACCACACTGCAAAGTCACGACGATGTCAGGAATGATGCCAACACGAATTATTTGAGCTGCAATCCCTGTCTGTGGACATGTTCTCGACAACCTTATATACCCAATCGATTTGATTGGATACAATACCACATGGTCCAACCCTTGTCTCACGAGTGTCCATCGCGTGTAAATAAATCAAAATAGTACAACTCATTGGACAACTTTCACGATGACCGACAAGGCCCGCATCACCATGTCAGCCCCTGATACCCTCCTTCCCGACGCTCCATATGTGACTCCCGTCGAGGCTACTGGACATTCCAACTACTTTCGGAACTGCTGGCTCGCATTTGCCACGTTTATCGTGCTCAGCGTCGGGGGAACTATAATATGGTACACCTGCTCAGAACCTGTCAAAGCGTTCTCGGAGCCTCCTCCCGCATACAACGTCAGTGCGTGCCAAGCCTGCTCTCGACTCAACTACACCGACATGCGGCCGTCCAAGTACCGTCAGTACAACGGGGTTGAAGACATTTGCCCCAGCTCGTTGTTTCCTGGGGATAACGTGGAATGGCTTCCGATGAAACCGATTTCGTCGTCGTGTTGCTGCTCCCTCACAGTTCCAAGTCGTGAAGGTTCCGACTACTACTACCGAATCGACTATCCCTATATGGTTAACGCCACCGCGTCCGACGCTTGTATTTGCAAGTACAAGTACAGCCAAAAGTACAACATGGGAACACATCGAGCATGGATCATGCTGTTTATTATGGGCGGCATTGGAATTGTGATCGTCGTGTGGTGCTGTGTGTTGGGTTGTCAGGCTACACTGTGTCGCACCTAGACTAACTACTAACGTTAAAGCAAATGATCACGAGAAAGACTTCTCCCTATAAAGAGTAGTACTCCAGAGCGTCACCACAAAATTGAGCATTGCTTTCGTAACGAATGAAGTTCTGATGTTTGGTGCTTCGTTTAAGGTGGAACTCTACCAAACTCTACACGACGTTATGTTTAAATGGAGAGTTTTGAAATGTTCATTGCCGAATATTTTAATGTCAGGTGTGAATTGAAGTGCACACATAAAATAACTAATTCACTAAGGATGGTCTGGATCGCATTTCACAATTTTCGCCCAATTAATATTTCGAAAATTTGGTTCAAAGTAATTCGAACAATTCGGTTACTATACTGTAATAAGTACAGTGATCCCCCGATTTTTGCAGCCTGGTACTGTATAAACTAATATCCCATGTAAAGCTATACAATATTAATTTCAAGAGGGACTAATACAATTTGAAATTCAAACGATTGTAGCCAATCCGGCGCAACAACCGCAGGTCAACGACATTTGATCAGTCAGAATACCCTGTTCTGTTAGAGAACATCCCCACTGCCCTGTCAGTCAGGTAGCAGCATTCTGCTAGCTGTGTAGGAGGTTTTTGTGCCTTTTAGAGGCTTTTCCTCAGGTAGAAGACAGCGCAGACATTTGTCACGAAACATCACAGATGTCGTGGCCAATCATAGTGCAGTCTGATTGGCTGTTTTTCTCTCCCGTCAGAACTATTATACTTTCAGTTCTTCCTCCATCCACACACTTGTCTGCTGCTGCTTCCTGCCCTCTCCACTGGTTATGAGCCTTACTGCTGCTTCCTCTGGCGGGTCACGGTGCAGACTACCATGGTGATGACCGAGACAGAGTTACCCACGATGACTATCGTGAGGTTTCCGCGACGACTACCGTGGCATCGATCATGAAGTAGACCGCATGAAAGGCGACTGTGTTTACCGAAAAGAACACCGCGACGAATGTTGCGAAAACAATTACTATTACCGCGATGACTATCGTGAAGACTAATGTTCACGACACATCGTAGATTCCGTGAAGGCTACTGTGACAACGATCACGAAGTGACCGCGACGAAAAATGTCCGCGAAAAATATGACCCCATCGACAACTACATTTGGGACTACGACTGCTTTATGTCCGCGAAGACTCGCGTCGACAACATCCATGAACGCACTGATTACCTCCTTAAGGTATTATCATGATATATTTTGCGATATATTTGACGTAGATTATGGCGGCGACTACGTTCGCGAAGACGTTAATGGCTCCCTGCCACAAGACTACATAGGTACTACACTATATATTCCGGACAATTTGCCAGCGTAGATTACCAAGCCAAATACCACGGCGGCTGCCGTGA